ACTTACGGTTTTCTTCCCTCTCTCTTTCCCCTCCATGTTCATCTGTTTTGTTTCTCATAATGTTAAACATACTCTAACATATGACTTAGCAATCACACTCCTAAGTATTTACTAAAGTGAACTAAAAACATGTTCACACAAAAACCTGTTAATAGGTAGTTACACAGCAGCTTTACTGATAATTGATAACAACTGGAAAAACCACCTTAAAGCTCTTGGTTAATGGATAAACAAGTTGTGGTACAGCTATATAAGAGACTTACTACTCAGTAGTAAAAAAGAATGAACTATTGATAAATGCAAAAACCTGGATGAACCTCAAAATGCAATTCTCTGAAAGTCAATCTCAAAAGATTACATACTTTATGATTTCATTTATATGACATTCTTGAAAAGCAAACAATTGTGACAGAGAATAGACCAACAGTTGCCAGGGGATATGGAATGGGGAGAGGGTGTGACTACAAAGAAAGAAATAGCCCTGTTCCTTTTTCTGATTGTGGTGGTTAGATAAACCTGGCATATATTAAAATTTATGAAATGGTTTACCAAAAAAGAATCAATTTTACTGTGTATTAGCTTTTTAAAAAAAGTATATCATCAAAGAAAGTGTTAGGTATCTATGAATTATGTAATTTCATGATTTTAAAGATGAGGAAACAAATCCAGGGGTATTAAGAGTGACTTGCTAATTAATGATCACAATTACTCAATGGCAATCCTCTCATTAAGAATTCAAAACTTAATACAAAGTATGGTTTACCTCAAAATGAGAAATTCAGTCAGAAATAAAAAATATGTAGAATTACATAACAAACCAGGCCATAGATTTCACACTTACATTTTAATATAAAATTCAACTATAATTTCTATGCCATATTTAGGTGAATAGGCCAAGAATAAAAAAAATTAAATTCTTACTTCTATTCAAGAAAGACTTCATAAACTGCACCTTAGTCATTAAGAAAGAAAACTCCTTCAATTTAGTTATTATATCCAGAATTTAGCAGAATTTCTAAGGTTACCTCTGAAAAACTCCAGTATTATTAGTTGTATACTAAATCAATATTTCCCTTCTGGATATTCTAGATATTAAAGAAAATATCCACTACTTCAATAGGTAAAAATCAGTCTAAGTTTGGTGGAACGTGAGAAAATGGAAATAGGAAGAAGTATAAGAAAAGGAAATAAGATGAAAACAGAGGGGCTTGTACTATACAAATTACTAGCTATACTTAATAAATATGAGATATTTTCTTACCCTCTTTTTTTTAAATTTTATTATGTTATGTTAATCACCATACAGTACATCATTAGTTTCTGATGTAGTGTTCCATGATTCACTGTTTGTGTATAACACCCAGTGCTCCATTCAATACGTGCCCTCTTTAATACCCATCACCAGGCTAACCCTTCTCCCCACCTCCCTCCCCTCTAGAACCCTCAGTTTGTTTCTCAGAGTCCATAGTCTCTCATGGTTCATCTTCTTACCCTCTTCTTTAGGGATGATACACAAAAGTTTAATATTCAGGACCCTGGTTCTTTCCCAAATATTTCCTTTTGAGTCTCAGGTGTTAACTAAGACTCTGATTACCACTCCACTTTACAGAGAGATCCAATAATCTTTTTTATAAGGTGCATTCAGCCTCATCTAACCATATCTTCATAATTTCCATGTGGAGTGATAATACCAACAAGACTAAGTATACAGAAAGTAAACAGGGCATAGGCATGAAGAAAATATCAAAAATATTAATTTCTTGCTAATAAATGAACAATCATACATTCCACCAATAACGGTCCCAAATGATCAGATCTTGGTATTATAATATGCAACAGAGAGTTTTAAAAGTCTTGACGTTTATCTGATAAAAATCCTTACTTTTACAAATAAGAAACTAAAGGTTAAGAGAGTTAATTATTACAAAGGTGAATTAAGAGCAGACCTCCTATTTACATAGTAATTATTCATACAATGCAGACTTAAATTTTGTCCCTCTTTCCTTAAGTCATTCTGCTTGCATATCCCCAAGATGAGAAGAAGGAATTAGCTAAACACTTGTTATTAATCCACATACTTTAGAGAACTGAAAGCAAAGAACCATGTCCTTGAATCTTCTTGTCAAATCTAATCTAAATGATTTTGTTTACCTTAATATACAATATAAAACACATACAATTTTATGGCAATCGAACCTAAAATTAATGTTGAACTACCTTTAATCCTGTGTTGTTGTTGCTTTTACTGCTGTTAAATAAGTAATGAGGAAAAAAGAAAAAAAAAAGCTTATTACCAAGTTGTGTACTATGCCATTTGCAAAGAGAACTATTTTTTTTAATAAACTCAAATTTTAACAAAATTGTCAATTTTATTCCACACAAACTTAAGTATTAAGAAGTTGCAGTAAGAAAGTTACACTTCATATAACATTTGCCCTGCAATTATCTGAAAATTCAATATTAAAAATGATAGTAGAGTGGCGCCTGGGTGGCTCACTCAGTAAAGCATCTGACTCTTGATTTTGGCTAATGTCATAATCTCAGGGTTGTGAGACCGAGTCCCCGCACTGGGCTCCACGGTGGGCTTGTAGCCTACTTAAGATTCTCTCTCCTCCTCTCCATCTGCCCCTATCTGCCTCCTCACAACTGGCTCACATGCTCTAAAAAAAAAAAAAAAAAATTTAAATAAATAAATAAGAAAGAAACAAAGATCAGTAAAGAAAATTTCTGATTTAATTTAAAACTTTTATTCACTTTGTTCCCCATGTTGTTAAATTTTTAAAGTACTATGATAAAGTCTATTTTGGTATTAATTATAAGAACTAATACAAGATTTTTATTTGCTGGTTTCTTTTTATTTTTTTGAGATCTACAACTAAACAGCTACTATGTTTCAGGCTCTATGATAAGCCTTGAGAACAGGTGAATAAAAACATGTCCTTACCTTCAAGGAGCATGAGGTTTAGTGTTTAAATGTGTAGTAAATTACGATGCAACATGATACAATAATGAATGTACAAAGTAGAACAAAGAAAGATAATCAGAGAAAGTCAGGAAAGATTTCAGAGTGATATCCAAATTGGCTTTGAGAAAGAAAAAGAATTTGTTAGTAGGACCCCAGGTCATTTCTTTATGTGAAACTCTAGGAAAGACAAACTTATAAAAGGTAGACCAGTGGTTGCCTAAAGCCAGGGATGCAGACTAGAGACTGAGAATTAATGTATACAAGAGGACCACTGAAGTGATGGAAATGTTCAGGATCCACTGATTGTAGTGACAGTTACCTGGGTATATCCATTTGTTAAAACTCATCAAATCATATACTTAAATGTACATTTATCATATGTAATTTATACTTCAGTAAAGTTGATTTTTTAAAAGGGACTAGGAAACCAAATGGGCTACTCTTTGTGTGGCAAAAACTCTCAATATTCCAATTACAAGGCAGTTATCAGTATTCTGTGAGGAAAAAAATGTTTTCTCTAAATAAACTGAGTTTAAAGCTCCAGCGCTGTTTCTTATTTTAGACTTCTCCTAAGGAAGTAATGGGCAAAAAATGCAGAGCTCGGCAGAGTTCCAATAAGAACAAGCTATTTCTAAGTTTACATGATATTGCTAAGAAAAGCATTTTCATAACATGAATTTCCACTTATATGTAATTATTGAATGTGTAGGTAAGAGAATACTAGATGAGTTGAAGAGTTCCTAGCTAACTTTGTTATTCTGGGAAAATTAATTCCCATCTTTGGGATTATTTCAGTTCTAAAACAAGAAGACTGGTTTCTCTATGATTTCTGTCATTTTTAAGATTCAACTCTTCTTACAAAGTTGAAATCTCTATACAGAGTGTCTCCAAATGAAATCCCTAAGGTAAGTCCCAGATGTGGAAATTGATGCAGTAAAATAAGTTTTATTAAGTACACTAAATATCTGAAGTATCTTATCCAATATTTTAGATTGGTAATTTGAGGTTCTTAGTCACATTTACGTATTTTCTTAATCAAATTTAATTTTGCTTATATCTGTTATTTCTTATTTGCTAATCTCACAGGTACTTCTAAAATTTCTATGGTGTTGGATACATTACTGTACATATACCACTCCTTTTCTCTGTGAATGAAGACTTTGAAGGTTATAGAGATTACAAAACTTGCTCAAAATATCATCTTTGCAAAGACAAAACTATTAGATAAATGTGTCTTGTAGGATTTTTTTAAGTAAAAAGTTTTAGAAAGAAGGCATATATAAATGGATAAATATTGGTACAAACATGGAAATTTTTCTTCTGGAAGGATATACAACAAAAAGTTAGTAATGCTACCTTTAAGGAGAGAGCCTAGGTGGAGAGAGGTAGTTTTTCTATTTTTGCTTTCTGTATCATTGAAAAATTTCCAACATGAACATTTGGTAATTCCACTGTTTAAAAATCTTAGGTTAGACTTATGGGTTTTATTTTTCTTTTCTATATTTAAGGAAAAAAGTAATGTTTGGTTTTTAAAATTTTTCTTCTTCCTTTTCAAACAATATGCTTGGTGGCTTAGTTGTTAATTCAGTTGCTTAGAGCACACAGAACAAAGGTCATAGGTTTGATTAATTACATTTGCAAAGAATAAAAATATCCCTCGGTCACAATACATTTTTAAAAAGTCATCTGGCAAACTCGTGTTGCTGATCACAAGGATGAATCAGGTAAGAGCATGTGGTTGACTCAATACAAAACATTAATCTTGGAAAATAACTCTAAGTGATGTCTTACTGACAGAGGGTAAGAGAGTAGACAGCAGTGTTACTCATCTCTAAGTAAATGTTTCAATTTTCATATCCATCAACTCACTGCACTTCGGAATAGAACAGAAATAAGACCTTAACAATCGGAGAAAATATAGTCCCTGTACTTTCAGAAAAGCTAAAAACGGTTATGTCACAAAGCTTATTAATTTCAAAGATGATACAATTCTTATTAATACACTATATAAATATCAAATAAAATACATATATACCTGTAACATCTTCTGGATCTGAAACAACAATATGTGCATTTAGTTCCTGTAGCTTATGATGCAGTTCTTCTAATTTTTTATTTGATTTTTTCAAAATGTTGTCCACGTAAGCCAAACTTTTTTTATCTGTTGTGACTTTCCTCAGATTTTCAGCTCCTTCTTTGATTTTCAGTTCTTTCCTTATTTCTCTCTTGATTCGATCCTTGATATCATCCAATTTCTGTTGCACCATCGTATCTGAAAAGTCTAATTTTTGAACAGCACTCACATTCTCAGAAAATGGAAGACTTCGAGAATCTCCCTACAGAGAAAAAATAAACATACAAATGTGGTAGTTTAGGAAAGTTAGTTGCTCAGTAACATGTGCAGCACAAGAGCAAAACTATGTATTCAGTGATTCCTTATTAAGTATATTACATTTAATTATTTCCTTAATAAGCAACAGACTAGTTACCTTTATTATTACCATACAAAATCCTAAGTTCAAAAACTGCCCACTGACTAAATAGCATTATCTGACAAATTTATATTAAAGTAAACACATCTACACACAAAAACATCTTAGGGTTCTATACAGAGAGTGGATTTCTGATATCCTATGAACCCAAGTTAGATTCCCAACGCCTACAATGTGAATCGTGAGCAAGTTATTTAACGCTTCAAATAGTCAGTTTAATCGTCTGTAAAATCAACATAATATTGCCACCTTTCAGAGGTATTGTGATAATCCAAAATATTTTATGTGAAGCTCCAAGTACAATTCTTGGCCCACCGTAGAGTCACTCAAATAAGTGAAAATTATTATTAAATTCCATAGTTAAGATACAATTCTATTTGATCTTCTATAAAAAACCTCTTAAAAAACTAATATTGGCAAAAATAAAATAAAGTTATATCCTTACGACCACTTCTGGTTAATGAATTAAATGCATCAGGATTTGGAAAGACTATATTCAGAACTCTATATATTTCATGGCTAACTATCCTATTGATAACTTGGTTGACTCACTACAAAAACATCATTACTAGAAAATATGTCTCAATTATGTCCTACTGATAGAAGCTAAGATAATACACAGTATCAGTTATTCATCTTAAAATAAAAATCAGATTAGGTAAGCACATCAAATCTACATTTAAAACAAACCAAAGTTATGTCCTAGCTATATGTATATCATTTGCTATTTTAAACTCCATTACTATAATACCACTGGTTTTAAAATTTTTAATTTCTGAAACCCAAAAATTAGAGATAATGTTTACCTGTAGGAAACTCAAAGGCAAAACTGATATTCATTCATATTCAATGTTTACCTCAAAAATTGAGTTTGTGAAGGTTCTAGAAAAGAGACATTTCACTGTGCACCCTTATGTACCTTTTGAACCACAGATCCAATTAATTAAAAGATTTTCCTTAATTTCTTCAGGAATCCATCATAACCATACAAATAAGTTCTGCTTAAATTCTTGGGTGCAAATACTTTTTATTTACATCTAGTTCTTAACCACTAAAAACCAGGTTATCTTGCAGAATAGTGAGTTAATAGATGTGAAGATGTGGGATCTAGTCTTGGCTTTGGACCAATTTACCCTGTGCCAAAGGGCATACTATACAAAAAATGAAGTAACTGATAAATCTATTCTTAACGTTTCTAGAGCCAAGAACCCCTTTGGAACTCTGACAAAAAAAAAAAACAGTAGAACAAAGAAAATTTCATGTTTGTATATACAATTTCCAGGTTCCATGGATTGGAGATGAAGAATTCCTGGGAAAAGTGATCTATACCTAATTGGCCTTAAATTTCTGATCCTTATTTATGTGGATATATAATGATCTTCTACCTGACTAAAACAGTACCTAGATTTTTCACTACTTATAGTGGAATGTAAATCCTATCATCCATTTATTCAGTTTCCAAAGTTTATGAATCTACCTTTGGCTGATTATCAAAAATAATAGCACATGACTACTGTCAAAAAATAAAATGCCAAATTTCTGCTGTCTGGCTTCAGGTAAAGTGGATTGAGGCAAACAATACTTAGATGAAAAAGTTTAAGCTAATTGCATTCCTTTAGAAATAAATTCCTTTATTTCTAACCTTACAGACTCAGAAAACATGAACTGCTTTCATAAATTTGTGCTTTAATATTATGTACTATGCTAGAGGTTCCCTAAATTTCTTGGTTCATGGTGACCTTAGTGTGTCAGTAATTTTTTCCATTTGCCCTATAGGCCAAGAGAAATATCTAACAATTCTGTATTAAATAGTAAGTTCCTAATTACTTAATACTTAAATTATAACTCAGCAGCTGTTTGAAATAATACAAATATGAAAGAAAACATTACATTTTAAAAAAATTCTTTAATAACTACAGTTACTTATTAATGTTGGGTACTTTCACCATTTCTCAAACTCTGAAATCAGATTGGACACTCCCACCTTCATTTTCTGTTCCTCCATACAAAGGAAATGTAGAATAATCTAATAATGAAACTTAACCAACTCCAGTTAATTGATACCCAACAAATGGTGTCACTGTGTTTCCCTGGAAATTTTCAAATACACTGCAACATCCTGAGAGTGTGCTGAGGCACCCCAGAGAGCCTTGTTGTACAGTTTGAGAATTGTGGTACTAAAATATAAAGGCTGTTACAAAAAACCCTGTTCTATGAAAATGGCATCAGTATTTGATGTGAATCCTTGAGGGTCTTTTGCCTACTTCAAATCTCATTTCTTTCCAATTTGCTACCTAAATCCCAATCCTATCAAACTACAGAATTTACTGCTGGAGACAATCTCTTGGCTCAGCTACTAATGCATGCTGCACCTCTGGGATATACTACCTTTCCTTCTTTTCTTCAACTATCTCTTCCTAGTCCCTTCTTTGCCTAACTTCTATCTTGTTTCAAAGTTGACCACAAATCTTCCTGGGAAAGAAATTTCCTGCCTATGCCCTCTTAGAATTTAGATTAAATGCCTCTCTTCACTATCCCAAAGACTATTAGCAATTTGAGGGCAAGGCTTATACCTGGCATAGCAGTTGTTTTGCTTTCTTAATGATTAGTCCATTATATTATTTAATATTCTTCTTCTTTCTTTTTTAAGATTTTATTTATTTGACAGAGAGAGAGAGAGATTGTGAGGGCAGGAACACAAGCAGGGGGAGTGGGAGAGGGAGAAGCAGGCTTCCCTCCAAGCAGGGATCCCGATGTGGGGCTGGATCCCAGGACCCTGGGATCATGACCTGAGCCGAAGGCAGATGCTTAACAACTGAGCCACCCAGGCGTCCCTAATATTCTTCTTTTGGAATTCAGGAAAGTCTGTCACTGCTGAGGAACTCATGCTTTCCTCTTTCTGATAAAGAGAACTTATACTCTAGGAAACTCAAAGGCAAAACTGATATTCAACCATAGCAACTATACTAGCTAGAATTAGATATAAACTATAGGTGGCTAAGCATGTTTGCTTTCTCTTCCTTTTCAAAGGCCTAAATTTTTAGTATCCATATTTTACTCCCATCTTTTGTTGTGACATGGTTTAAATATTTTTTGAAAAGGAGCAACAGATACCTACAGTACAATCAGTAACTTAAGATAAATGTCCCCTGACAGTAGGCAGGAAAGATTACAGTACTTTCTATTACTCCTTTCCTAAAAATTTTAGTGCAGTAAACTGTGAAATTTACTGGAAAATATAATTTTCTTGCATTTGAAACAAGTGAAATGAAATATTTTATCTATTAACTTATGTCTCTACCCTAAAAAAAATAATAAAACAATTATATCATAAATGCCAGAATCAGTACTGGGCAATGAAATAGTATTTCTGACATAGGTAAAATAAATTAGCCTCAGAAAATAAATAGCTATTTAACCAGTGAAAACCTTCAGTGATAATCTTTGTCTCAGTAGCTTCTATTACAGGCAGTAATAACTGTCTACACCATCTATATTACATTATGTTTACAAGCTTAACACTTTCATCTGCATTCACAACTGTTTTCTACTCTGTAAAATTTCATGCCTACTCCCAAACAGTAGATACCTTTTTTCATCTTTTCAAAATAAAGTTAGATCTAACCTCTAATCACAAACTCCTTTTAAAATTCACTAATATGCTCAGAAAGTATGCAGATAAAAGATTAAAAAAAATGAACTAATCCTAAGCATAAAACTAAACTCTTAACAATATTCATAATGCTGCATCAATTATCTATACATAAAAGAAACCTCTTAATTCTCATCTCTTTTATCCCTGAAATCATAAGCTAGCCACTGCATTCTAGTCAATCTAACATTTTGCTGTTTACATTATTTTACCTTGTCTTTCTTATGCCCTATTTATCTAAATTCAGCATCACAAAATACTTGCTTAAAAAATATTTTAAGTCTTTCATGGTTCCATTTTAAATTTTACATCATCCATATGTTTAATGCAGTCATTCAATCAAATGGATCAAATCCAAACAAAAGGAAATCATCAGTAAAATTAATACCCCCAGGATTTACAGAACTGAAATGATTTTTAGTTAAATAGGTTTCAAGTGGCTAAATAAAATAGAGACCCCAATGAGTAAGAAAGTAAGAATTAGATGGATTTCAAAGGAACAAAAATAAATTAAAAACTGAGCGGTTAGGTTAAATAGCAGATTAGACCAAGATAATGAATTAGTATACTGGCAGGTAGAAAACTGGGGAAATTACTCTGAGTTCATCACACAGAGATATGAGAAATTAAAAGGCATGGAAGATAAAATGAGAAGATCCAAGATCCATCTAGGAAGAGCTCCAGAATAAGAGAATAAAGAAAATGAGGGAGAAGTACTGCATGAAGATAAATGAATGGGAATTTTCCAGAACTGAAGAATGATTTAAATCCTTGGGCCAGAAAGCCACACCAAACTGTAATAAGATAAATGAAAATAACAACAGAAATAAACAGAGGAAAGGCATTTTATCAACAAATGAATGACAATTAGAGCAACAGAAGACTTCCCTTAATGACAACAGAGGCCCAAAACTATCAAACTTCTATAAGACTCTGAGATTTTATCTTAAGGTCTTCAGATATTGCTAAGGCTTTCTCAAAAAAAAAAAAATTTTTTTTTTAATCTGCCTCAAAATATTAACATTCTGGGGAAAATTACAGGTGAACTAACCTAGAGTCCATGTTATATTTACACCATTCTCCTGTTCACTAATCATGTATCTGTTAATATACATTAAAGAAAAACTGTGCTGTGGAAGTAGAGAATGCACTACTGTTACCTCTGAAACTGACAAAGATTTTTCTAATCATA